TTCTCAACACTACTTAGAAAACGAAGAATAACTTTCTGCGCGTTAATGGCAGGGGAACAAATACATGAATTTAGAAAATAAGTACAAGCTGATCCGCAATGACTTTTGTGATCAGTTCCACATACAGCTGCGAGCAGTGCTACTTCGTAACTTCTCGGCGGCTAGACGAAGTAGGCTTTGCCGAGACATGATTAAATTCAGACGTGACCGCTAAATTAGAAAACAGCGGCTACAAGTGCTTCCTCGGTGATAGACAATCGAATGACGGACTGGTGTGCTGCTATACATACGGTCATAATTGTGCGGCAGATTCGTGGGCACCTACCGAAGCACCGATGGTCTGTATGAGCAGTTACGGTGTTTGATTCACCTCAGACGCAACGACATGTTCGTGGGTGTGCTCTATCGTAGTCCACTCAGCCGCTGCTCGGACTGGTTACCGCATGTCCGCAACCACATGAGTCGTCCGTAGTTCCAGCTCATGGGCGATTTAGACCAACCTCGATTACAGTGGCTTGAGGTCGAACTTTTCCCCGGCCATTGCGAAGTCGAGACAAAGTTCGCGGAGACGACAATTGAAACTTGGACCACAAAGCATATCAACCGACCGACACGCATAACCCGCGCACGACTCCATTGTGCTTAGACTTGTTACTGACCGGCTGTGAGCAATGTGTGCATGACATTCAGGTCCGAGAGCCTCTGGCGGCGAATGACTACCCGATGATAATAGCCAGCTTGGGGTTGACACTGCTGTATTATCCTTCGTTACAGCCGGCCTTCAACTACTGGAAGGCGAACTTTACTGGCCTCACTCGAGCCGCGAGTCAGATGGACTGGTCGTTACCAAAGGATTTATCTGTTGAAACCTGTTGGACTATCACTAAAGAGGGAGTAAAATGGTTGTGCGCCCGATTCGTACGCCTCAAGTACCAGAAGTCGGATCAATAAAGCCACACTGGTTCGACAGGGATTATAGTAAACTGGCTCGACGGCGACGCAGACTATGGAACAAATTCGTGTTGTCTAGCTCTGACGAAGAGTACGAGGGTTACAGGAGACAGTGAAATCCATGCAAGGCGAAAACACAAAAGCGTCGAACCCTCCAAGAGCAACTTGTATCCCCAGGAAGAAACGGCTCACAACAGGGTCGATGCCAATGTGAAGAGGTGTCTGAAATCGCAAGCAATGTGCCAGTTTGGAGGGCTAAGATGGACAGCCCCTAAACTCGAGCACCGATCGTGTGTCCGCAGTGGCGGTGCACTTCGCTTCCGTATTTGGAAGTGGCCAGGTGTCTGTACCGAGTTCGACGGGTACCGCCCCGCTAAACTAGACAACCTGAATTTCAGCAGTGAAGATATACGCAAGTTGCTGGTCACTTCGACGGCACCAAGCCTACTGGACCAGATGGAATCCACCAACTGATCCTCAAGTCATCATCAGCCATCACCTCGCATTCTGTGACTGTGCTATTCAACAGGTCGCTATCCACTGGTTCATTACCAAGCGAATGGAAATGATCAATTGCGAAGCCAAGACGGAAAAGTGTTAACCCAAGCAGAGTGGACAACTACCGGTCGATCTGCTTGACCGCTGTTTTGGCTATGACACTTGAGAAGATAGTGAAGAATAACATTATGCAACTTCTCGAGTCAAAAAGCTTCTTAATGCCTGCACAGCATAGTTTCGTGAAAGGTAGCTCATGCATCACCAGCCTACTCTTGACAAGGCACGAATAGTTACAAGCTTTGAACCAGGGGAAGTCGGTTGACATCATTTACATCGAATTTATCAAGGCGTTTGACAAGGTGACTCATGAGGTCCTCCTCCACAGACTGAGGTTGTGTGGTGTTAGCGGTTCACTACACCAATGGACCAAGGATTTCCTTGTTGATCGAAAGTGCAGGGTACAAATCGACAGCTACCTGACCGACTAGTATCCCTCGGCTAGTAGCGTGCCCCAAGGCACTGTACTGGGGCCCATTTTGTACCTGATCCACATAAACTACGTGCATCAGCTCCTCCGTTCGCGCTGTGCGTTGTTTGCAGTTGACCTGAAGATGTGGAGAGTAATCCACGTACGCAATGATTGTGATCTGCTCCAGCGTGTCTGTGACGGTCTCTCCGTGTCGCCTACAGAGGTCAACTTTCCGATAAACCCGGTCAATACGCCACTCATTACTCTTGGTAAGGGTGAACACGGTTAGACCTTCACTTTGGCCGATCAACCGTTGCATCCGACGCATTTCGGGAATGACCTCGTTGTACTCTCTCACTGTGACCTAAAGTCCATGGACAGCACGGATAGGATTTACCAAAATGGCCAACGTATGCTTTGGGCACTCAAGCGCAGCTTCAGTACTTGATCCGAGGAGATTGTCCCTCGTCTCTTTGTCTCAATCATACGACCATCCATCATCATCATCAATAGCAGTACATCAGCCATTTGAACTGATGTTTCGCTGCCATGCAACGCTAGAGTACGGCTCGCTTGAATCCTGTCCTATCACCCGGGGCGAGGAAGAAAGGACTGAGCGGGTACAGCATGTAGGCACGAGGCTCACCCACACGTTACGAGGTGTGAAGTACGAAGACTGGTGCAAGAGGTTGGGATATTACACCCTGTCTTATCGCCGAGTGCGGGTTGATCTTATCATAACGCTTGGGATATTAAATCTTAGTGAGTATCGTATGTGGAGACACCTGCTCTATGTACGAACACCAAGCAGCACACGAGGACACCGGTACAAACTTGTAGCACTGTGGTTGAAGTGGATCGCTCACGAACGGGGGTCTGTGAATATATGGAACAGCGTCGCCGCACCTAGTCGAGGCAAAGTCAGTGTGGAAATTCGAAAAATCCGTACACAAACACTTTGAAGACATGAAATAACGGGAACGCTCTCCAACACAATCGGTAATTGTACGTGAGAGATTTTAGATGCAGCTACACAGAGACATCTCCCCTTGCTGTTTTCATCCAGTATATATATATATGTATGTATATATTCGTATTTATATTTATATATAATGTCTGCTTGTAAATCGGAGCTAGGGTGCACAAAACTGCAGCACGGTTAGTGCATGAATGGCAGAAAGGCATCAGCAGTATGCCGGAACGCAGTACCGAAGCTTCGCTGCCGCGCAACCACCACCGGTCGCACGTGGGCTAAGGATACTGCGAGGAACGCCCTACCCCTACGCAAGCTCGAACCCGTCCCGTCAGATTACAAGACCAGCTTGGTACCTCCAGGCCACAGGCCGGCAGCCTCGATTACTGTGCTCTGGTGACAGCGTGAAGCCCGTCGTCCTTGATAATTGATGCATTAGAAGAATTTCCTACATGTGGTGAGAGCGGAACTTGGCAATAAACACTCAGAAAAGCGCCTAACTGTCTGTTAAACTCGAGTAGACTTAAGCATTCTACCAAATGGTTATGTGTATGTATACTGAGCTTTGTTTGGTGGGACGCCGAGTGAGAGCTGACTACACTGTAAAACAGTGGAAATAAGGTTATGGAACCAGCAAGACTGACATGATGCTCGTAACTCATCAACTGCAAAAGTAGCAAAAGAGCCGAAGCACTCAGTACTCGTTGATTCTGCCAAGATATTTGTTACGGTGAACAATGAGGCGTAGGAGCTGGTTCTGAATAAATGCGGATATCGCAGAAAGTATATTCCTTAACTGGTAGTTTGGATGATGGCATACAGGATGAGGTGGGACCTTGTTGACGAACCTTGGATGCATTTAGCATCGTCGATGGATGCGAAGCCAAGATGTACTGCAGACTATACTCTTCTAACATATATGTAACTGTCACGCCACTAGATGTATTCAATCCATTTGAGAAGGATATCCACCTCGAGAACCGAATGAATGGCAGATTGTCGAATATGCGGCATTCTGCAGCGAGAAGCCAAAGGTGGGACAACCATTCGATTGACTTTGGATTACCCAAAGTTGTTGTTAATTGATCACGAATTAACGAGAGCCAATCGATGAAATCATACAAACTTCCACAATATCCAGACGTCAGGAATATCCATGCAGTGGTTTCGGGCGGACAAAACCCAATTTCCATGCAGTAATCTGTTCACCAGTCTAATGCAATCTACTTTCGCAATATTAGCTTGCGTGACCGCTGGAAATGAACTGCTAAAACGCAATTGGTGTTGAGCCAGAATTTCGTTACCATGCCCAACTGTCTGCTAATTCTGATGATAACATGACGTTAGTCAACATCGAAAGCATGAAGATGGGCTGTTAAAGCCAAGCTATTGCCTTTATGACAATCTGGCCAAAACCAACCCCGTCGCTGCACGAAGAGTCGACAGCTCATCAAAAAGTTAGTGAATGACAGTTTTCAAGTGGTGGAGGTATTCGAACAGCACAAATGGAGTTAACAACAGCTAGAGATAGCCAGAGAAAATGAGGCTCATCAGAAGGGCGCGTTGCCCTGGCCTAGAGGTGGTGGTGGTGGTGGTAAAAACGGGGGCCAATAATAGAAGCTGGGATTATGCAAGCAAACTAAAGCCCCTAGACCGCGATGGATGTTGGCAACCCACATGGCTTAGCAACTGGGGCGTAATGTGTAAAGATGGAGAAGCATTACAAGCGGCCCGATAGCAAGAACCACAGGGAAGCGGCAATCTCTCTGTTACTCTTTATCACGATCTGTGTTGTCAGTGTTGTGAACAAAATGTATCGCTGTAAAAAAGTAAACTGAATGTCATTAATTCGGAAACAGAAAATACAATAAGAGCAAGAACGGCCACATTGTGGAAGCGAGAAGATTCCCGGTGGATGAACATAGGTTTAAAATAACGGAAAAAGTGGCTGGAAACTGGAGCAAAGGCCGGGCGCCCAACTAAGCGCTCCCCAGCTGTGATAACGTCACAAGACAGGATGTTGCAAATACAGTGGAACTATGCACCAGCAGGTGTGTGATAACCGAGGAAAGCGTGGCAAGCAACAAGGACCAACGCGTGTAACAATCATCATATGGAGGCCAAATCAGAGAAGATTCCATCAAATTCCTTTTTCAGCAGTTCGTTTGCACATTGCTGCTTGTCAAGATCCACTATAAAAATGTCGCAGGTCAAATTACGTAACGTCATACTTACACTTTGTCTTGTCGATTAGTCGATTTAGCCGAGAGACCTCGCGTTCGGACGCTTCAACTCGATTGTTTACCTGAAAAGGGATAATCGAAAATGAGCACTAATAACAATAGAGAATGAAGAGAAAGTGAGAGATGGGTGATCAAAGGAAGTAGAGAAAAGTGCAAAAAAACCTGCAACATTACACAAGTGGCAATCGATGTTTCAAGATTATGGTGCAAAGTGGTGAGATAGAGGGTTGAAAACACTTAAGGTAGGTGAAGAGAAAGTAATTTCGATGTGCTCCTTGTGAAAAATATATGCATTACCACCAATAGTATGCTGCTAGTACTACAACTGTTCAGCAGGGTCGCTGTGATACGTAGAGAAACCGGCCTCGGTAGTAGTGCGTCTGTTCCGTTTGCTGGTCACAACGAAAGCCGGGCCAGCAACAGAGGATGTATTGGCACAAAAGTGTTCGGACCCGAGCCTTTGATCAAAATGGCCAAATAAATCCACCAAAAATAAAAATGCTGCCTTGTTGACACGAACGACCAAGTAACGAGATGAGCAGATGCATTTTACAATTTTATTTTAACCTACAGTTGCAGAAAGATGCACTGGATGGTACAGCTTTCAGCACATCAGATAATAGAGGATAACTATTCCACAAAGCACTTCTCGGCGGTGCGCATTGTCACAAGGGGTACCTAGACAGGAAATATATTAGAAATAGCCGGAGCAATCTGCGATTTGGTAACATGCCCTTGGCGTTCAGATAGCCCCTTTGCAACCTACTTTCCAAGATGTTATAGACTGAAAAATTGCAGGCCAGTCGAAATAAGAGGCATGTGATAAAATCTGAGCAGCTACAAGGATGACAATATCAAACCTACAAGATGAGAAACTGCTGCGTCCTCCATAAAACAGGTCACATTTACTGGACGAAGGGTGCAATCAAACACCACCTTTGACAAGTCATTAGTCATCAGAGGAACAGAATCACACCCCTACAATGAAAGGGGAATCTTCGTATAAAGTAGAAGCCACGATTAAACTTCGCACAATAATCCGCCTGGACGGGGAATCGAACCCCGGAATCACGGAGCGTAGTTGTGAGATAGGGGACTATATTAAATCAGCCGGTAGTGTCCAACTGAAAACAGGAGATAAAGCCAAGGAAGTATTAAGCTGCTGCAGTGAGAACGCAACAACAAGAAGTGAGGATCAAGCTAGTTAGTACTCAACTGCTCTAAATCTGTGCCCAAAAGTGAACAGAAGTAAGCATGAAGAGGATGGGGTGACTCGTAGTTGTTTAAAATTCCGCACGCAGTGATGTTCAAAGTAACCATTTGTACTTCAACTGATTGTACAAAGTGCAGATATCCAAAGCAGAACGGATAGTAACTGTAATGCTGTGTAGAGTAACGAATTGTGGGGACGGAACGGTTATTTCACATCAGACTTCCTTTTGGCAAGAAGCCTTCTGCTGCTTCACTCGAGCGTTCGCTGAATCTTAATCGCTTATGTTGGCTAGGCTATGTCCTCAGGATGCCCGCTGGCCGACTTCCACAAATTGCCTTATAGGTCATGGTTGCACCAAAAAGGGCGAAACGGCGAGGTAGCCAGTCCATGACGTGCCATAGACGCATGGAGAAATTGACTGAAAGACTCAGTCAGGCTGGTGCATGCCATCTTCATAGATATAGGCCTCGGGATTGTCCACACCAATGGATGAAGACCGTGCCAGACACAGCACGGTTACGCAGTCAGTGGCTTTCCTGAATTCAATTTCTTGCAGCTGGTTGTTAATTCTCGTTGCATTCTGATTAGTTTAACACACTCCTTCTTGCATCCATTTTCATCCCAATCTATTTGCTTCCAACCACATCCCATGCCTTTGTTATTCATTGTTACCTTTGCGATGTGAGTCGGGGCAAATAAATCCATTGCACTTCGGTGTTCATCAGTATCACTGTCAATCCACAATTAGCCGAGGGTGAGAAACACACTGCAGCTAATGTGTCGCAATACAAAAAAGGAAAGATAGTAAAAATTACGACGAATTCAAAAATCAAGTAATTTAACGTCAAATATCATAGTATTCACTTATAGACACCGTTATTGTTAGCGGAATCTAAACGTTAGGGGGGTTGACAAAGAAATTTACAACATGAACGCCATTAGGGTCGGTTCTAAGCAATGTCAGCAAGTGTATCCAACAAAACGTGTTCACCGTCCTTCGGACACAAACTAGGCAAACAGGATGCACCAATCGAAGTCACCTTCGAACTGAGGGCCTTCATTCCTCCTGACCAAATGATCGCTTGGTCTCCCCTCCTCTTCATCCATCCACATCCCCGGCGCTCAAACAACGTACGATGCGGGAGCCGTCTTGCCGGCATGCGCAACTCGTGGCCCAGCCATCGGAGCATGATGCGTGATTTAACGGTGTTGAGCGGTTCACTCATTATCCTTACACCGAATGCGGCGCATACCGGATGTCAAATAAGCTGCAAAGGCCGCGATGATCGAAGGTAGCTAGCCTCCTTTTGTCTGTCGACTTGATAGGCCAGGTTTCGCAACTGTACAGGTGTGTTGTACAGACGGCTGCATTGTAAACTCTGCCCTTCAGAGGGAGGGCAACTGATACCGGAGCCCGTCCGTAACAGTCTTCCAAGCCAATTCCCTGTCTGAAGCAGCTCGGAGAAGATTAGTCGTATGCCGCCTGTAACCGATTGGATAGCCAGTGAGAGCAAGCCAATGGCATCGTTTTATCTTGAAGT